CACTTACACCCCCTATTGTAGACCCCAACGTGGAAAAAATTCACTTTTTAACATTTTTGTAACCCTTTCTATTGTTAGTGGTCTGAGAAGTTGGCACCTTAACTCGTTCTGTTCATAACAAACTAAAAATTGCAGATGTGAAGAAATCAGAGAAATTACAAAATTTATTCATTTTTACACATTGTTAACTTTCAACGATTAGGGCAAAGAAATGGTCGAATTCACAGAGTCAGCAGCTGCTGCTCTGTTTCCTTTTATATTCAGCTTGAAAGTAGGATTACAGATAAAAGCCAAGTGTCACATTCTGACTAGCTGTGTTTAAATCCTAAACAGTACTTTAACGGCTAATCTATTACAAAGACTAAACGGTGCGTAGCACCACTTAAACAACCAGCCGTCTTTTCTTCTTCAGAAACGTTTCTTCTTTTCTCCGTTTCATCTCTTCTTCTTCCTTGTAATCCTTCTGCAATCAGGACTACTTTGGATCATGAACTCTATCACCCCCCTTCAAGTTGTGGCAGGAAGGATGACTCCCAACTTGACCAATAGATCCTTAAGTCGAGCCTGCTCCAAACCCTTTGTAAAAATGTCTGCAAGTTGGTTGACTGTGCTCACATGTTCCAACCTTATCAGACCTGTCTTTATCCTCTCTCTAGTGACATGTATGTCGATTTCAATATGCTTAGTTCTCTCGTGAAACACAGGGTTTTCAGCTATATGTATGGCTGACCTGTTATCACAATAGATGGTGATTGGCAAAGGAATCTTCACACTCAGTTCCTCAAGCAAACCTTTTAGCAACTGAACTTCACATACTGTCAGAGCAAGTGCTCTATATTCTGCCTCTGCCGAAGACCTGGAAACTGTAGTATGCTTTTTGGTCTTCCAAGTAAGTAATGATCGACCCAAAAATGTGTAGTAACCAGTAGTTGATCTCCTTGTATCAGGGCAACTTGCCCAATCTGAATCACAGAAGCCTGTCAATTTTGGCTCAGCAGCACTGTCAAAGTGAATACCCTGACCTGGTCCACTCTTCAGGTATCTTAGGACCCTATGTGCTGCCTGCAAATGTTCTTCATGTGGATTCTTTTGGAATTGACATAACTGCTGGACAGCAAAAGATAAGTCTGGCCTGGTGATTGTTATGTAATGGAGCCTTCCCACCAGTCTCCTGTATTGTTCAGCATCATTTAAAGGAGTTCCTTGTGTAGCTGATAGTCTCACCTTGTAGTCAGTAGGAGTTTTACACCCTTTAGACTCCAAATAGCCTGTCTCCTTCAACAATTCCCAACAGTATTTTCTCTGGCACACACTTATACCTGCTGCAGTTCTGTCAATTTCTAATCCCAAAAAATATTTTAAAGGACCAAGGAGCTTCATCTTAAACTCCCGACTTAGAACCTTCTTCACTTGTTCTATGTCTTTCAGTGCATCACCTCCTATAATTATATCATCCACATAAATGAGTAGCACTACAATTCCACCACGAATCCATTTTGTGAATAATGAATAATCTGAGGCAGACTGACTAAAGCCATTCCTTAGAAGAAAACCACTGAGTTTAACAAACCATTGTCTGGATGCCTGCTTTAGGCCATACAGAGACTTCTTCAGCCTGCATACCATCTTCTCAGGACCAGGGAATTGCAAATCTAGGCCATGTGGCAATTGCATACACTTCCTCATGTAAGTCTCCATGTAGAAATGCATTTGAAACATCCATTTGTTCCAATGTCCAGTTTTTGACTGCTGCAATTGCTAACAAAGCCTTAACAGAATTGATTTTTGTAACTGGAGAAAAGGTATCAAGGAAATCAATACCATATACCTGAGTGTAACCTTTGGCCACTAGTCTGGACTTGAACCTCTCTAGGGAACCATCTGGTTTCAGCTTGATCTTATAGACCCACTTGTTTCCAATGACTTTCTTCCCTGGAGGTAAGGGAACTATGTCTCAGGTTTGATTTTCTTCTAAGGATTCCCATTCCTCTCTCATGGCTTTCCTCCAGTGTTCATACTTAATTGCTTCTTGATAAGTGAGAGGCTCATCCTGTTGAATAACACTGAGTGCAAATTTTCTATCAACAGAATTAAGGTGATCCACATTTAGTGCTATTGGATATTTGCTAACAGCTGCATTGTGTCCAAAAGCACCAAATTGTAGTGTGGAATCAAGTTCACAATCAGCATATTTGCTAGGCAGCTGGTATTTCCTTTTTGGCCTTGCTGCTGGTTCAAACTCCTGGGGCTCCAGTTCAGGTTCAAGTTCTGCCATTTCATAAGCCATTTCAGTACTGTCCCCCTCATCAGCTGAGATTGGTTGAGGTTCAGAAGACAAGGGAGGCTGAGAAACTGGGATGGAATGGCTAGGAATGACAATTTCAGGTGGTGGACTAGGATCAACAGAAGAGCTAGCAGAATCGGGCATGGGAGGTGGTGGTGATGCAGAATTTTCAGTTCTGAAAGGAAGGATTGATTCGTAGAAAACCACATCTCTTGAAATCAGAACCTGGTTGGTGTGAATGTCAAGTAACTTATAGCCCTTGATGCCAGATGGTATCCCTAGCATGACACATTGTCTAGCTCTAGGTGCAAATTTTGTCCTGCCAGAGGAAGGAGTCCTAGCATAAGCCAGGCTACTAAACACTCTGAGATTCCCAAGGAAGGGAGGCTTCTTGTACAACACTTCATATGGAGATCGATTATTCAGGATTGGAGTGGAGATTCTATTAATGAGGTACACATAATGTAATTTGCAATCACTCCAGAACTGTAGTGGTATGCTAGACTGGAATCTCAGAGACCTAGCTACATTAAGTATGTGCTGGTGTTTGCGTTCCACCCTAGCATTCTGTTCTGGTGTGTAAACACAAGACATCTGATGCTCAATACCCTCAGACATGAAGAAATCACACATGTCAAACTCCTTTCCCTGGTCACTCCTAATGATTTGAACGGTACTAGCAAACTGGTTCTTAACCAACACACAGAAGCCTTTCAACAGGTTCCTAGCTTCACTTTTGCCATGCATCAGATAAACCCATACAGCTCTTGAACAATCATCAACAATTATAAGGAAGTAATTATATCCATCATAAGACATAACAGACAATGGTCCCCAAATGTCAACATGAACAAGCTGAAAAGGCTTAACTGCATTGTTTGTGCTAATAGGAAATGGTAGTTTCTTGTGTTTAGAGAAATGACAGACATTACAATGATCAACTTTGGAAGGGGTTACAGTGGAATCAGAATGTTGTAACAGACTAAGCCTATCATTGCTGGGATGTCCTAATCTCCAGTGCCACAAGTCTACTTGGTGGGGATTGAAATTGAAGACACTGGCAGCTTGGCTTGGATGTGAAGAAGGTTGGTCAGGTGGCTGTTGTGTGAAGGTAAGCTGGTAGAGTCCTTTAATTTCTCTTGCTAAACCAATTGTCTTCTTGTTTAGAAGGTCCTGGATATGGCAAATATCATAATGAAATTGTAAGGATATAGGAAAGTCATGTGTGAGTCTACTCACTGAAACTAGGTTGAAGGAGAAACTGGAAACTAAGAGAAAATTGTAAAGGTATAGACCAAAGGGTAGCTTTAATGTTCCTATGTGGCTTACTACAACCTTAGTACAGTTGGGTAGATGTACAAAGACATCCTGTACTGATCTATGTTCAGTGAACAAGTCTAGGGAACAAGCTATATGGTCAGATGCCCCTGTGTCCAATATCCATAAACTATCAGGCTTGTATGAATTCAAGTTTGTGAAAGAGGATAGGGTGAATTTACCTGAATAGTTTGGAAAGGGAGGTAGATACTGGGACACAGAGTAAGCTTGGTGTTGAATGGAGGGTGAGGTAGGTGGTGAGGATGAGGAAGTGTGATTGATTGGGACAGGGTTATTAGCACCACAATGCAGCAAGTATCTCAACTTGTTCATTTCTTCTGGGGTAAAACTGGGTGAAGAATGACTTACCACATTGCTGTCATTATGATAGCTAACCTCTGATGTAGTCTCACTCCCACTGGAGTTAGCTTGTGACACAGACCCCACAAACTTCTGAGATCCTGAGTGAGAACCACCTCCTTGTTCCTGTTCCCTACTCTTCCTCTTATAGGTCCAGCACTCTTCAATATTGTGATTAGTTTTCTTACAGAATTTGCAATACTTCTTGCCTGGATTTCTGTCATCAGTGCTCTTAGCATTATCTCCTTGAACTGCAAGAGCCACAGTTTGTGACTTCTTAGAGTTGCCTGATGAATTTGCCTTCAACTCTTGTTCATGCTGAAGCAAATCATCCATTACATCAACAACTGTTGGAAGAGGCTTTAACATCAATAGCTGCTTCTTGACTCCCTCAAAATCTGGATTTAAACCTCGGAGAAACCTGATGAGGTAATCAGTTTCCTGTTTGTGATTGTAGGCAACCACAGCAGTACAAAGATTGGGGTTTCCTGGTAAACAATTACATTCCACAATTGGACTGTATTCTGTATATTCATCCCATAAACCTTTAATCAGAGTGTAGTACTGAGTGATTGTCATAGTTCCTTGCTTGCATCTATGTATCTCATCCTCTAGATTTGTCAACCTGTTTGCATTTAGTTGTCCAAACCTACGATGAAGTTCATCCCAAAGAGATTTAGCATTTTCATGGCTCATTACAGATCTCTTAATATCTTTCTGCAACGAGTTCAATATCCAGGTTACAACAGCGATGTTGCAACTATCCCATAAAGTAAAGCTTGGATCTGTTCTGGCTGGTATCACCATAGATCCGTCGATGAAACCCAGTTTGTGCTTCATCTTTAAAGCCTTCTTCATAGATCTACTCCACATGGAGTAGTTACTTCCATCCAACGATTCAGAAACAATGGGTTGTGCAAAACTCTCATTCGGGTTCAGATATAGAGGGTTACCAAAAACGATGACACCATTCTGGTCAGCTCCAAACGAACCAAAACGAAAGTTTGATGCATTGTTGTTGAAGACGCCACTGGTGCGCTGAGATCCTCCACCTTCATTCTGGGCTTCGTCGGTTGTCTCTGCGTTGTCGGACATCTTGCTGCGGAAGGCGACCTAGGTCGGCCGCTCTGATACCATGTTAACTTTCAACGATTAGGGCAAAGAAATGGCCGAATTCACAGAGTCAGCAGCGGCTGCTCTGTTTCCTTTTATATTCAGCTTGAAAGTAGGATTACAGATAAAAGCCAAGTGTCACATTCTGACTGGCTGTGTTTAAATCCTAAACAGTACTTTAACGACTAATCTATTACAAAGACTAAACGGTGCGTAGCACCACTTAAACAACCAGCCGTCTTTTCTTCTTCAGAAACATTTCTTCTCTTCTCCGTTTCATCTCTTCTTCTTCCTTGTAATCCTTCTACAATCAGGACTACTTTGGATCATGAACTCTGTCACACATGGGAATAATTTCACATTCGTATGCATTTACAGCTAGCTTAATTTGAAAATAAAATTTAATTCCAACAAGTCAAAAAATGTATTGAATCAAAGAAATGAAGACAAAAAAGAGCTAGCTACTGTAGTGATCATTTGTTGACGGCGTTGCAAATCTTTCTAATCTGGCCTGCGGATCTGGTGAGAGGCTGAAGATCTCCCATCTTAATCATGGCGGCCGCGAAATCGGCACTGAAACGGGAAGGACTCTGGCTGTACTCCATCACTATACTATCCGTAACGCCGCCGCTGAAAAGGACCTGATCAGTTTTGAGGAGTCCCTTCCTCTGCACTATATTCGTGAAGTAGTTGTTGTCGAATTTATCCGGGGTCATGTCCATTGGCGCCAAATTCGAATCTCCGCCAACCGCCGGGCAGCGGCGCCTGAGGGCGCTAGCAAATCCAGGATCGATATTAGCATTGTTGCTATGGATCCTTTCGCGGAAGCTAAAGCATTGGGCCAGGCCCAAAGTATGGGCTCCGGAGAGAGCGACCATGTCTCTTGGGCTAAGCCCTTTTCGGTTGAATAGGTCAATGAGGATCTGGAGATCAGATTTGAAGAAGGGGAGATTCCCCATCACCTCGTCAGGAAACGCGGCGGTAGAATCTCTCCTGCCAAGCTTCACGTCCCACGATGGGCCTCCAGCGAAGGCAGAGGCGTCTCGTGCCGCCACTGCTAGAATGTCGGCGCAGGAGACGACGTCGGGGCAAATCGCCTCGAGCTGGGCTTTGGCGGCATCGATGACTTGGTGGCCTCTGGTGGATACGTTTGGTAGAGAGTCTTTCTCGGATTTGATGGTTTGGGAATTGTTGAGCAGGTTGGAAGCATCGCATCCATGGACGAAGCAGTCGTGGAAATGGAGCCGGATTAGGGCAGCAGACATCCTCGGATCCTTGGCGATTGCCGCCCTTATGGAGGTTCGTATTGCGGGGAGGGCGTTGGGGCATGATTTGGCGTAGAAGTTTGTGGACAATTGTGCTTCCGACCTCTGTATTGCCGCCGTACACATTAGCGCCAGTAACGCCACTAAGAAGGCTGGTTTTGAGAGTAATCGTTCGGTTGCCATTGCCATTTAATATTTGCTCTCAACTTAATACGATCGAGGATCCGATGCCAATTTGTAGGGATTGAGAAGATGAAGATCGTGTCACGGACGGTCTGACCATATACCCTTTCTTTCTTAGGTACGCCTTGTGTTGCCAAATGCCAGTTGCTCTTCGCCGACGGCGGGGACTATGGTACCGTGTTGGTACGTTGTGAACCGTCGGATATAAGGGATCTATTCAAATCACGATCCTGGATATATAGCTATCACTTAACCGATTGACCCGCCCTATGGGCCGAATTCATCGTCGGAACCGTGGCAATCTTTACTCTCTATTAATGATTGAGATGGTGGCAGAGGCGACAGAGGAGATTTGGTGCGGTATGTAGCTAGCCTAGATGTTTGGAGAAATGGAGAAGAGGTTGGGTTTCATGGAAGCTAGGGTGAGGGTTGATATGTAAGGAGTGAAAAAGAAGTTTGATGGGGCTTGTTTTTTTTGGCGTTGAGGCTTTGTTGGAGCAGATAAGTCGGAGATGGTAAGAAGGAAGCAATCGGAGGTGTTTGTTGTGAACGTAAGGAAGGGGGAGGGACTAGGGAGAGACCACAAAAAAAAAATTTATTTTTTGTGGATACTGACAAGCTGATTTTTCTAGACCAGATTGATACTTTGTTTTTTTATTTTGTGTTATTGAGGTAACCTATTTACAAATATATACAAATTTATGAAATTATTAGATTTGTATATGATGTTTCTTTTTTTTTTTTTTTTTTTGTATTCGGGCACACTAAAAACTTAGAATATCAACATTAATAGTGTCTACTCTCTACTTGTGCCTCAGCTCGTTCGAAAGCTAGATTTGCCTCTATTATTTGTAGCTTCTCTTAGATTGGTATAGTCTTGGCGTTTCATTCAAAAACAAAGAACCAAATAGACCAAACGACCTTATGACCATTAATCCTACGAAAAAGAGAGGGATATGATTCACAATGTCGAAATATTGATTTTAAGTTAAAATAAAATGTGGGTGCATGGTTCCCGATTAGTTATTATTAGTTGGCTATTTTCGAACAGTAAAAAGTGTTTATAGAAAAACAGTAAAAAGTAAATGGAGTGGACAAAATTAGAGAGGATTTTGATTTAACTTTGTGGTGAGTGTCCTCATCGGTTCAGTAACCAAATTTTTTACCATGCATAATATTTTTCTCAATTTAATTTAACATGTTGTATCTCTTTCGTTCTAATTCTAAATTCAAAAGACTTTTGTACATAAACATCGTGCTCTTCAAAATATATTCACTTTGATTTATTTTGTATAAAAAAGATTATATATTAGCAGTATGTATCATGGTATTACAAATTTGTAGTGCATATAATTATACCATAATGGTATAAAATGTACCATTGTAGTATGAATAACTATATATGTTATAGAATGAGTATATATAGTAATCACCATTTATCACTTTTTCCCATTGTCTATCATCATTTGCCACCATATTCAGTAAATATATTAAATTATATAGATACAAAGTGATACCATGTGGTAACGGATGAACAAAAAAATTCTCAAAATGCATTAAAAAATGAGTATCTTTTTATCGAACTCGATGAACTCATTTTATCTATGCAAAAAGAATGTTGAATTCGGATTAAAACGAGCAAGATACAAATATATTAAAAAAGTATGAAAAATAAAATAATAAATTAATCTCAATCATTAGATCTGGTATACTAAAAACCAATGAATCAGATTTGGTTATGCACAAATAGTTGAGAAAGGTTTATGCACCCTACACTGACATTGTGATAACTCTTAACTCTAGGTTTTACTCCAATAAGTTGGCAAAAGCATGATTGTTTTGTTAAAATAATTGTTCATGTTCACCGAAAATGTTCTTGATACAATTTTTTTTTGTTTGTGTTATAGTGGTACATGAAGCAATTAAACATCTACCACTCATTTTTTTTTATTAGAAAACATTAGAAAAGAGAAAGAGGAAAGGTCGATTCAATTTCAATGAAACTCAGAAGTCTGGCCTAGGCTTCAAATAAATGAACTTCAATTAAATTAAGAGAACAAAAGTGTAAAAAGAAGTTAAGGTAACAGTATCGTACAAGATATTTCAATGAAATGCCTTATGCAATCAAATATGAAAGGGGTTCTTACTGGCCGAAAATAAGATAAGAGGTATTGAAGATTTCGCGGATCACGTTGCTGATTGTGATTTAGATGCCATTCCTTTTGTTCTAAGGTATGAAAGAGGGTCAGATAGATCCATTCAACTAAGGTTATTCATCAATTGATGCTTGTTACACTTCCTCTACGTCCGTTCCGAAAGAAAAGCAATTGAAGATTTGACATCTAGGGAAAAGGAATCAGATCAGAACCTGGAGCTGTATCTACACAATAAATAAAAGCCGGATGAGAAAACTTGAGGCTCCATTTCAAATTTCCTGCATCCAGAGTGAAAGTAGGAAGGGTATATTCGTCTTCACAATCACCTATTATTTTCTTATTTACAGAAAAAAATACATCAATAATGAGATTTGAACCATGGTCTCTTCGAATAAAGATAAGAAACATAACCAGTTACAATAAACACATTTGTGTGATCTTTTTCAATTAAAAACATACATGAAGCTTAAATATGGAAAAATATAAGAGTTTTCCACCACATTTAGCAACCGAAATGTCATTGATTCAAATATTGTATATCGAATTTCACTCTTGAATGCGTAGAAACAATGTATAATTCTTAACATAGACTTAATTGTTATAACTATCATAAAGTAACGATATTTTTAAACACAGAACTTTTGAGTGAATATGGGGCACATGTGTCTTTAAGAAGAGGGCTAAATATGGAAAGGTTGAGTGATGTTGGTTTTCCGAACGCGGATGGAAAAGACACTACTAATGTAAACGGGCTCAAATAGTGCCCCCAACCCACTAAACGCTCAACCATTACCGTCTCTCCAAACTTCTCATCAGACTCAACAACCGGCTAACCTCCTCTACCTCTATTATTAAGCCAGAGCAATTCTTGGAGGGGTAAATATGGATAGATTGAGTGTTGTTGGTTTTCCCAACGCAATTGGAAAAGGTGCTACTAATGTAAACGAGTCCAAATAGTGTCCGGCCCACTAAACACACAACCACCGGCTTACTTTTGCCACACCTAATATAAGAATAAGAGTGAAATGGGAAAGGTGCTTCCCCCATTACAAAATCTGTGCATCCATGGCAAAAGTAGGAAGGGTAGATTCGTCTTCACAGTCATTTATTATTTTCTTATTTACGAGAAAAATACATAAGTGATGGGATTTGAATTGTGATCTCTTTGAGAAAAGACAAGAAACATAACCAGTTAGACTAAACAAATTTGTTTAAAGCTTTTAAATTAAAAATATACAGGAAGCTTAAATCTGAAAATCATTGGAATTTTCCATCACAGTTAGCTAAACCACTGACTCTCCCCTAAATATTTTTTTGGTATGTGATACTTCTATTTTCATACTTTGATTATTTTAATTCGAGGTTAATAATTAATTCTATTTCTATTTATCTTATAAAAGGAGAATAATTTTAAAATCACAAGCCTAATGTTATTGGTACAAATATTGCAAATCGAATTGTAGTATTGAATGTGTAGAAGCGTGCAAAATTCTTGACATAGACTTCAATAATATCACTAACATAAAGCAACAATATTTTTGAACATAGAAGTTTTGAGTGAATATGTGTAACATGTGTCTTTAAGAGAGGGGTAAATATAGAAATGTTGAGTGATGTTGATTTGTCGAATGCGCATTGAAAAGCCGCAACTAATGTAAATAGGTCTAAATGGTGTCCCGACCTACGTACTAAACGCTCAACCATCGCCGTATCTCCAAACCTTCCCACTGGACTCGACAGCCACCTATCGTCCTCAACCTATATTGTTACGCAAAGCAATTTTCGGAGGGTTAAATATGGAAAGATTGAATGTTCTTGCTTGGAGAGCTGACTGGTGGGTTATTTAGTTTATTTGACAGTAATGTGTGATCTCTTAACATCAATTTATTTGGTTGATCTTCTAGATTGAGTTTTGAGTTGATTAAAGATAAACAGTGTCCCGGGCTCCCGTCCTACTAAATGCTCAAGCATCACCGTCTCTCCAAACCTTCCCATCGGACTCGACAACCACCTAACCTCCTCCACCTATATTGTCACGCAAAGCAATTTTCGGAGGGGTAAATATGTAAAGGTTGAGTGTTCTTGCTTAGAGAGCTGACTGATGGGTTAGTGTTCTTTGATAGTAATGTATGATCTCTTAACATCAGTTCATTTGGTTGATCTTCTAGGTTGACTTTTGAGTTGCTTAAATATAAATAACTATACTTTTTGTTGCTTTTGTTATAATAATCCTTTTCAGTATCGTCATTTTTCTGATTTGAAATGTTTTGGTGGTTAGTTTTAAGTAAACAAAGACTATTCTGATTACGGTTAAAATAGGGAATAGCTTCAATCATACCACTTTTACACAAAATTTATAAGCAAGACCTGAGATCATTGTCGAATTGAACTATTCAAGCAATAATTTTGATCTTTAACATATAAAACAAAGTTTATTTTGAGTGAAATAACCTCATGATTGCAGATAAGTTTTTATAATATGATGTTTTGTGATAGTGGTCACTTGCTTCCAGATTGAAAAGTGAGGTTCTAATTACTACAATCTACACATAATATAATAGCAGGAAGGAAAAAACCCTTCTCCCATTTCAAATTTCCTGCTCCATGAGTGTTTGTAAGAGGGTATAATATGGAGTGTCAATTTTTCTCTCTTTCCTCTGTGGAACGGGCCAGCTTACCGTACACGTGCGGACTTGAACGGGCCCAGGATTGTTGCGACCCACGAAAACATAACAGATTTCAGCCACGGTCGCATATGTTTCGTGCCTCCATAGCGATCACCATAACTGATTCTTGGATTGTTCCGATGCTGGATCTGGACTCCACCCACGCCGGGAATAAATGAAATGATTAGAGAAAGTGAGCTTCATAATTGTTTACAAAATAATTGCCCCAATCATTTTTCCGTGTGCTAATGGCCTAATCCCTTCCCTATGAAAAGAAATCCAAGCATACTAAAATGATCCAGTCATGCCAATGAAGAAGGGTGGTAAATTGCATGCAAGACAAATTTAAAGATCGGGTCATCTAATCAAATCGTAATCAACCACCCTTTTTCCATCATTCGTAAGCTCTAATAGATAAGTGACAAAGAATCCACAATATCGCTTCACTGTAACAATACAGTATTATTGAAGATTGGTGGCTTTCTCTTATTCTTCGCTAAACTAGCGTCGAATATATACAAAGAGGAGTTTAAACAAGTGATAAGAGAAGGGAAGATTAAGAAATGAAAAACAGAGACCGGGAGGGGGAGTTGAAATTGAGGTTCGTGGGGAGGATGACATGTAGGAAAAGGTTTGCAAAGCTAAAATAACGGCAGGAAAACAGGGATGGGGAGAAGTGGATACCGACGGCGATATAATTGAGATCGAGAGAGAGAGAGAAGTGAACCATGAGCCGGTGAGCACTGAACAGCTTTTTTTTAGGGGATATAGGGTTTTCTTTAAGCCTTTTTATTCCTTGGTGTTGGTAAGATATATATGAAATGGCAAAAACAATACTCT